GGCAAAAGCCAAGGGGAAGGCGAAGAGCAACACCGACGAGGAGTCGACCCAGCTGGCCCTGAAGGAGGCCGAGGACGCCAAGCTCCAGGAGGCCGAGGATGCCAAGATCAAGGAGGCCGAGGACGTCAAGATCCAGGAGGCCGAGGACGCGAAGATCAAGGAGGCCGAGGACGCGAAGATCAAGAAGGCGGAGGCCGCCAAGTGCAAGGAGGCCGAGGACAAGCAGCGCATGGAAGCCGAGGCCGCCAAGCGCAAGGAGGCCGAGGACAAGCAGCGCCAGGACGCCGAGGCCAAGCAGCGCCAGGAGGCCGAGGCCAAGCAGCGCCAGGAGGCCCAGGCCCAGCAGCGCCAGGAGGCCGAGGCCAAGCAGCGCCAGGAGGCCGAGGACGCTAAGCGCAAGAAGGCCGAGGACACCAAGCACCAGGAGACCGTGACCCCGCCGAGAAAGCCGCATGCAGAGGTGGCGACGCCGCCGAAGTCGCAGATCGTGCGACTGCCGTTTGGCGAAGTTCAGGTCGTGGGCGATGACGGCAAGACGGCGACCATGAAGATGTCGTTCAGCAACGGGGGAAACCGCGACCTCTTCGAGTCCCTCGACAAGTGTGTGGAGAAGCTGACGGTCCACACATGCTCCGGCCCAGGCGCAAAGCAGCAGGATGTCATCTGGCAGCGGCCGGCTTGGAAGCCCGCCAACCGTGGCCTTTCTGATGGCCGTAATCTCATCGACTACCGCACGATGATTGGCGTGACCTTCTGCGTGAACCCCAAATTTTTGGATCCACGCGCCCACTAGGGTCGTCGTGAGTGCTCTTTTTTGGTGGCGTGTACAGAGCTTTGCGTGCAGGCTAAAGCTGATCGACACCCGAGGGCAACAGTGGCGGCAAACTCGATGTTTCAGAAAAACACTTCTTCGGTTTGTTGCGGTGGGTGGTGCAGTGCTGTTGCGGTCGAGCTGCCTGTCCACACTGCTGACCGTGCTGTACCCTAAACCCTAAACCCAAACCCCCAAACCGCCAGGTGCCGTCAACTTCGAGCTTTGGAAAAGGCACGGCTCCTGAGTGTTTTCCGAAGCAGGGAGGCAGTGAGTGCGTTGCAAGGCGTGAGCATTTTGGCAGCGCATTTTGTGCCAAGAATTCAGAGACTCCGTAGCTCCACTTCTCGCAGCCGAATCATGGAAGGGGAGGATTATAGCGGACTGACCGATGTCCAGTTGACGCAGAGACTGGCCAAACTCAAGAAGCAGATCAACTCGGGACAGACGCTTGACAAGGTGCCGCTCAGCGAGCAAGCCTTGGAGGCGCTGCGAAAGAAACGGGCGGACCTCCTAGCCGAGCAAACCAGACGCGGGTCGGCAGTGGGGCGGCGCAAGCAGAGCCAGCAAGCCCTGATCATGATCGCGCACGGCGAACAGAAGAGCGCGGAGGTCATGACATGCGTGGAGAACTCCGCCGCAGCCGCCGTCCACGAGATCATCTGCAATTCCGATGCTAACCACGCAGAGGTCATGGCCGCACTGTCGGATATTCGGAACCAGAGGAG